TGCGTCTGGGCAAGTGAGTTCTCCCCGCGCGGCAATGCCTACTGATGTCGGCCGCAAGGCCCACTGCTCGAGTTTGCTTGAACTTAGTCGTTACAGAGTTCGCCTCGAGCAGTATATAGCGCAACCTTTTAAGCCACTTCACTATCCTTGACAAGTGGCTTCGCACACATCTATCTCTTGGTGATGTCCGAGGCGCGCTCCTTAGGGGCACGGCCGAAGAGACTCACCCAAAACAGAATTTGGTTATGTTTTTTGTTCATCAACACGACATGACATATTTTTCCTTGTGTACATCCTCTGTGCGACAGCTTCTATATTGTAGCTGACGGAGCAGTGCCTATATTGATGCGGCTGGCTGTACTTTGATGCCGGTGGCAACGCCCACTGTGTCCTTCCTTCATTAATGAGGCTGGGCGCAGCGGCTTCTGATATTGCTTCCGTTTTCTCAGTTCATCTTGCTCCGCTCATCCGTGTCCCATTCCTCGCCTCCCTCGAGTGCCGAAGCTTTTTTTGGGGGCGCGCCGAGGGGCGCCTAGAGGGTGTTCGGAAAGGATTATGGACACTTGGATGCTCCTTCGCTCCTTACCTTGCCCGTTCACACTGCGCAGTGGCGCTGCGCAATTACAGAAGCGGACCCTGCTGGTGTGTTCGGGACATGTGCGTTTTGAGGAGTATGAGGGTGACAGGTTCTTTTTTTCCTGTTTCCCGATTCCTGCCCGCGCGGGCGGGATTCGGGACGGGGGGGTGTGAAAGGAACCCGTTTCATACCCTCATCTCTACTCCTCACTCGCCCGTTTGCCTGCCCTATCGGCTCAGGTACTGGAAGAGACCAGGACGCTGGTCGCACAGGAGGAAAAGATCCCTTTCTTTCCCTCCTTCCTCTACCTACGGATCAGGGGTTCTGTGCCTTTGTATTCTAACCCCGTACACATCTTCTTAGATACCAACTGGTGGAATGGCAGATGGAGGGTGGGCAACGCGGTAGATATCAAGACAGGGTCGATCAGTTCATGGAGAAGAATGTTGGCATGGAAGTTCGATTTCGCGCGAGGCGCGCATTTCGCGAGGCGAACTCTCGAGCGGATGAGTGGGCGCAGTTAGCGCGCAGGGGCTGCGCCTTGGTCCGAAGCTGGCTCGTCGATCGCGAGAAACATTGTCCCAATTTCGTCGCCCTCGTGGTCGGTGCGACGGGGGGGTTGACGAGCAATGTGTTGGCATCAGATATTTCTCCAGGCTGCTCTGACCCCCTCCTCCTCGCAACCCCTCCGTTAATTATCTTAATTCAGCCCTGCGGGCACACCTTTCCGCCGAGCATGATTCTGTCGTTCGTAGAGATGTGTGCGAGGCTGCGATCCTTGGTCCCGTTGTCTCTGCGATAACCGACGCTGGACTCTCTGCTTTAAAAGGCCTCCACGGGGCCGCCAGGCAACTGCTCCAGGGTCTTCCGGTAACCATGTCTGACGTGGTGACGCTGCCCGCCAAAGCGCAAAAACCTTGGTTGCTCGGGGTTTTGACGTCTTGCAACCTAGGCAGCCGTTGGGGTCTCATGGGGCTTCCTTTCTTTGCGAAGGCCCTCGGCCATTGTGGCTGGTTCAAATCCGGATTATTTTCTTCTGGTCTTGGCGTCGTTTGCCCTGGCGCCCATATCTTGCGCCAGTGTCACTCGTGTCTCTGCTGTTGTCTATTCTGGGCCATCCTGCGTTCGTTTAGATATCTACCGTGTGTGGAGTGCTTGTTTTCTTATTCTCGCCATGCTGCATGTTCGGAGTGCGGGCCCCCAACTCGCTCGTCATACGCGGGCCGTGCAGCGCAGTGTTCGCCCAAGCTACATCATTCAAACTCCCTTGGCTCAGACTGGTGCCGAATCTTGTCGTTCCGCCGCCGGGGCTCGGAAATGATGCTGCCGGTATGATCCTTGATTACCTGGAGCCGAAAGCTATGCCTGACGTGCCCTCCGGGGCAGAAGAAACGATTGCCGTCCCGCGTGTTGTCTCGGCCCCCAAACGCATCGCGCAGTCAAGGTTTGCTTCAGTATCTATCGCCCCTGGAAACAGGGTCGATTTTGCTTGTCAGTCTTTAGGTGTTTGTTTGACCTCGGTTGCCTGTCGGGCTTCGGATGGCGGTGCGCAGAAGGAAGTGGATGTGCAGACTCCTGGCCGTGATGCCATGAGTTTTGCCGACGTGGAGGCTGGCGCGCAGACTCCTGAACCGAAAGCTTCTATTTCAATCCCTACTTTTGGCGGCGGAAGGACGGAAGGTAAGGACGGGGACAAGGATCTGCAAAACGAGCAAATGCCAGGTAAGGTCACTTGTGCTGGAGAGCCACTGATGGTTTCCAAATGTTGCGTCTCAGCTGTTGATGGAGACATGTGTACTCGAGGTGAGGATCAATTTGCTGATTCAACTTCAGTTTCAGTTGAGATTCATACAGTCTTCACGATTAGAAATTGTGAGGAACTGGCTCGCAGACTTCGCTGGCTTGTTACGGGTATGGTTTCGGCTGGGGCTCAAACTGCAGTGGCTTCAGATGTAGTTCGTTCAACCTGGGCTCGCGTAGTTGTGGACTCCACAATTTGAGATCAAGGTGTGGTTTCAATTTCAACGTCAGTTGCGGGGTCAATTCCACATCCTGGTATACAGGGCACAATTACCGCGTCCGAGGTCGAGGCCCCTCGGGTCGTTTCAGTGCCTTCCTCGCCGTCGTCATCCCATGTGTGGCCGCGCGAGTGTCCGAAACTGGACCCGAATACTGCGGGTCCCTCATCGGCGCCTCTTGCGCCGCATCCATCCACTTGCCCAGGGCCGAAGTTGCGGAAGCAGAAACAGGCTCGACAGCAGACGAAGCGACGCGGGTCGGATGAGGTGCCGTCCGACGCTCCTGCTGGAAGCTTCTCGCATAGGTCTCCGTCCGAGGCCCGAGCGTCCCTTCCCCCTTGGCTTTCGCATGGTGAGCGACTCTCGAGCATCTCCTGATCCCAGATCGTTTACGCAGTGGGCATTTGACAAGAGTGTGCCATGACGCATTCATCTTAGATGTTTTTGAAGTCTGCGGCTTGCGTGACTGCTAACGCGTAGTAGTCGTGCAATTGGTATATCGTCATGGTGCATTTTATCGTGATTATTTCGGCGGCGATTTATTTGTCCACACTTTGTTCTAATCTATCTCATGCGACGGGATGACCTCCGCGATGTAATGCTGTGGAGTTGTTCACTTGGGCGTCGGTATCGGTTGGTGTTTGTAAGTTTGGGTTCCCTGTATCTCATTTTATACCCCTTACATGAGCATGCTGCCTGTACCTTGATCACGCTCATTTACTTGTACTTCTGAATTGCGTGCGCTTGTAACTTTTTCGTTCTTGTCCCCCTCCTGTCCCCAAACTCTGGCGAAACTGTGGTGATTGTGCTGCCGCACTCCCGCCCGCAGCACCGAAACGGATGCTGGCCTGCTCGAGCCAGAGGGTCTCTCGGAGGTTGCAGAGCTGGTCGTGCATTCTCCTGGCCCTCAGCGTTCTTGAGGTGCCTGGCCTGCCTTGTTTGGGGTTGTGCTTGGGCATGTTCCCTGGAGCCTGATGCGCCCTCCCCCAAAAAATCTTCGTTGACGGTTTACCGCCGGCGCCCAGTTGGCGGACCCAATCCGAAGAGACAATGTGGTGAGCTGGGGTTGTTTTTTTGAAGATAGTGGAACATTCGACAACTCGTTTGTAGAATTTGCATTTTTCGAACCTGCTTCGCGTTATGACGCTTCTTTTTTCAGTGGAGGGGCAACGGGGTGGGACCGGATGGAACGGGGGGTCGGGCTGTTTTCATTTCCGAAGATTTGTTCGTGAGCCTCCTCACCTCAGGAAAAAACGTGTCGCGAGAGATGCGGGTTTCCCTTCCTTCTCTCTTTGCTGCTTTCTCCGCGCTGGCCCTGCTTTTTGGGCTCGATCGGGCAGTTTGTGATGTATTCTTAGCAGAAGGCGGGGCGGGGCCCGTGGCACGGCGCAGGGTGCGATCGTGGCGGAGCGCGTTGCACTCGAAGATGAGGAGAAGGAGGAGGAAGGGCAGGAGGAGGAGGAGGAGGAGGAAGAGGCGGAGGAGGAGGAGGAGGACGCGGAGGAGGAGAAGGAGAAGGGGGAGGTGTGGTGAAGAGGATGATAGGAAGACAACGAGGAGATGGAGGAGGACGAGGGACGGGGACGGGAGGATCTAGGCCTTCCAGATGGGTCAGGGTAGACTGTGTCGGAGGATCGCGCCGCATCGGCGATGCATCGGCGATGCGGTTCGCTGTGGAATCCGATCTTTTTCACGCGACGTTGTTGATGCATCGCCGACGGCGCCGATGCATCGGCGATGCATTGGCGATGTGGCACGCCACGATCTTTCGACCCCATGTATTCGGATCCCGTCTGGGAGGCCTCTAGACGAGAATGGGGAGGAGGAGGAGGAGGAGGAGGAGGAGTAGGAGAAGGAGAAGGAGGAGGATGAGGAGGTGGAGGAGGATGAGGAGGAGGAGGAGGAGGAGGAGAAGGAAAGGGTTTGGTTCGGTCGTCCTCGAAGGTGCGAGTCAAGCTCACAGCTGCCAGGTGGGTGCCACTCTGATGGGAAGCCACAGCCGAGAGGAGAAATGGTGGAGGAGGACGAGGGTGAGGATGAGGAAGAGGAGGAGTATCAGGCAACAGTAGCAGCAGTGGTCGGTTAAGTAGTCGTAGACGATCACGATGAGGAGCATGATGGAAAACGACGAGGATGTCTGAGGTGGAGGAGGAGAAAACTGATGATGAGGCGGAGGAGGGTAACGATGCTAAGGAAGGTGAGTATCGTGAACATGCCAAAGCACACGTCAAGTTGAAGAGTGTTTGATAATGGTATTGGTGATTCCGTATCACCCTCGAATTTGTGCACGATAGGAGCCCTTGCGTGAGGCGCCAGAGTGCGGGGCTGTGGGGTCATGTTGCTGGCTGAGCGGTGGATGCGATTCTCGGGGCCAGGCAGCAGCTTTCCAATTCGAGGCATGCGCAATGTCCGCAGACGGCTACTCTGCGCATGATGTGGCCGAGGTGCTGGGATGACGGAAAGGACGAGGAGGAGGAGAATGAGGAGAATGAGGAGGAGGAGGAGGAGGAAGAGGAGGAGGAGGAGGAGGAAGAGGAGCAGGAGGAGGAGTGATGCAGATGCGATCGTGGTATTCTTTCCTGCCAGGGGGCCGCTGTGCGGTCGCATGGAGCGAGTCAGACTTTCTGAGACTTTTGCTGGGACAGGGGTAGGTGAGGTAGGAGGAGGGGGAGGAGGAGGCCGAGGAGGAGGAAGAGGATGAGGAATAACATATACGGAGGAGGGACCAGAAGGGGCGGAGGAGGAGGAAGTGGATGAGGAGGAAGAGGTGAAAGGAGGGGAGGGAGGAGGAGGAGGAGGAGGAGGAGGAGGAGGAGGAGGAGGAGGAGGAGGAGGAGGAGGAGGAGGAGACGGAGCAGGATGTGAAGGACATCTACGGTAAGCACGAGGAATCTGGAACAAACAAACGTGATCAGGACAGCGGCATGCGGAAGAAGGAGGTGGAGGCATCTGGGGAGAGGTGAAGAGAAAAGACGGAGAAGATGAAGATGAGGTCGAGCAGGAACATGTGCCTCACCCTCCTCCCTTTTCTTGCCCTCGTCGTCGTCCTCGTCGTCGTCCTCGTCGTCGTCGTCGTCGTCGTCCTCGTCCTCGTCATCGTCGTGGCGTCCTCGTCGTCGTTGTCGTCGTCTTCGTCCTATGTTTCTCTCTCACCCTGCTTCCTGCTTTAGTCCCGAGGAGGAGGAGGAGGAGGTTCACGACGATGACGAAGACGAGCACCATGAGGACGAGAAGGAAGAGGACGACTAGGATTAGGAACGCGATGACAATCACGAGGGAGGCGACGACGAGGAAGACAAGGACGACGACGAGGACGAAAACGGCGACGCCCACGCGGACGACGATGACGAGGACGACGGCGGAAAGGACGAGGAGGCCGGCGACTGATGTTGTCTGGAGGCAGCCAATGGCCACGAGCGGTTGCCCAGAGGCCTCCCCCATTGCCCCCCTGGAGGCCTCACAGAGGCCCCCCAAACCGCAAAGCGTCCAAAAGCCTCCGTCCTCGAATTCGGCGGCGCGCCGATGGGGTCGGCGCGAGAGGTGTGACCTTTCAACAAGGCAGGGGGCTTCTTGCAAGCGCTCCATGCCTTTGTAGAAGGCTCTGGGCGCCCCCGATTTCTCCCTGAATATTCATTCGGCCACTCCCTCGCGCCACCCTCTTCGGCGCGCTGCTGGCGAACCTCGATCATGGAACGCCGACGTCGGCGAGGACGACGACGACGAAGTCGACGGAGCCCCAGCCACAGTCACGGGCGACGTGAGGGGGGGATAGGCTCAGGGGGATGCATCGACCCCACATCGCCCCGTCATTGCCGATAGGGGCCTGATAGCCCGCCCCGCACAGGAACGTGCCCATTCACTATCGAGGGCCTACGTCGATTTATCAGCGATGTACGTCGATTTCCCTCCTGAGCCGGTACCCCCTGTAATAGCCGATTCCAAATGTTTCCTCTCTGAGCTGGTCCACCCTGACGTCTCCCTGTTATCATCATCGTCATCATCATTGTCATGGTCATTGTCATCGTTATCGACACCGTCACCGTCATCGTCATCGTCATCGTCATCGTTATCGGCATCGTCATCGTCATCGGCATCGTCATCGGCGTCGTTATCGTCATCGGCATCGTCATCGTCATCGTCATCGTCATCCGCACCGTCATGGTCATCGTCATCGTCATCGTCATCGTCATCCGCATCGTCATCCGCATCGTCATCGTCATCCACATCGTCATCGTCATCGTCATCGTCATCGTCATTGGCGTTGGCATTGGCATCGTCGTCGTCGTCGTCGCCGTCGTCGTCGTCGTCGTCACCGCCATTGTCATGGGCATCGCCACCGTCACTGTCATTGGCATCGCCATCGTCGTCATCCCCCCCCAAACGTCCCCCCTCGCACAGGTGCTCTCGCGGCTCAGCGCCGTGGTCGACGCCCGGCAGATACAGGCGCCGGTCGGCGCGCAGGACCAGAAGCCCCGCGGCCGCGGGAGGCCTCACGAGAGGGGGCATCTGGGAGCGGGGTGTGGGAAAATCACGATGATGAGGAGGAGGAGGAGCACGGGGAGGGAGGAGGGAGGAGTGAGGAGGGAGGATGAGGAACAGGAGGAGGGAGGAGGGAGGACGGAGGAGGAGGGAGGAGGAGCCCTTGGACGTTGACATCCGCGAGTGGTCCCAGCAGCACAGCAGAGAGCAGCACGACCCGGAGCAGCACGACAGAGAGTGGTCCCAGCAGCACGGCAGAGAGCAGCACGACCCAGAGCAGCACGAGTGAGAGCAGCAGCCCTTGGACGTTGACATCCGCGAGTGGTCCCAGCAGCACGGCAGAGAGCAGCACAACCCGGAGCAACACGACAGAGAGCAGCAGCCCTTGGACGTTGACATCCGCGAGTGGTCCCAGCAGCACGGCAGAGAGCAGCACGACCCGGAGCAACACGACAGAGAGCAGCAGCCCTTGGACGCTGACATCCGCGAGTGGTCCCAGCGGCACGGCACAGAGCAGCACGACCCTGAGCAGCACGACGGAAAGCAGCAGCCCTTGGACGTTGACATCCGCGAGTGGTCCCAGAGGCACGGCAGAGAGCAGCACGATCCGGAGCAGCACGACAGAGAGCAGCAGCCTTTGGACGTTGACATCCGCGAGTGGTCCCAGCAGCACGGCAGAGAGCAGCACGACCTGGAGGAGCACGACAGAGAGCAGCAGCCCTTGGACGTTGACATCCACGAGCGGTCCCAGCAGCACGGCAGAGAGCAGCACGACCCAGAGCAGCACGACAGAGAGCAGCAGCCCTTGGACGTTGACATCCGCGAGTGGCCCCAGAACACCGGCAGGGAGCAGCACGACCCGGAGCAGCACGACAGAAAGCAGCAGCCCTCGGACGCCGACATCCACGAGCGGTCCCAGCAGCACGGCAGAGAGCAGCACGACCCAGACCAGCGCGACAGAGAGCAGCAGCCCTTGGACGTTGACATCCGCAAGTGGTCCCAGCAGCACGGCAGAGAGCAGCACGACCCAGAGCAGCACGACAGAAAGCTGCAGCCCTTGGACGTTGACATCCGCGAGCGGTCCCAGCGGCACGGCAGAGAGCAGCACGACCTGGAGCAACACGACAGAGAGCAGCAGCCCTTTGATGCTGACCCCCGCGAGTGGTCCCAGCAGCACGGCAGAGAGCAGCACGACCCAGAGCAGCACGACAGAGAGCAGCAGCCCTTGGACGTTGACATCCGCGAGTGGCCCCAGTAGCACGGCAGAGAGCAGCACGACCAGGAGCAGCACGACAGAGAGCAGCAGTCCTTGGACGTTGGCATCCGCGAGCGGTCCCGGCAGCACGGCAGCGAGCAGCACGACCCCGAGCAGCACGACAGAGAGCAGCAGCCCTTGGACTATGACATCCGCGAGTGGCCCCAGCAGCGCGGCAGAGAGCAACGCGACCTGGAGCAGCACGACAGAGAGCAGCAGCCCTTGGACGTTGACATCCGCAAGTGGCCCCAGCAGCACGGCAGAGAGCAGCACGACCCAGAGCAGCACGACAGAGAGCAGCAGCCCTTGGACGTTGACATCCGCGAGTGGTCCCAGCAGCACGGCGGAGAACAGCAGGTCCTGGACCAGCGTGACAGAGAGCAGCAGCCCTTGGACGTTGACATCCGCGAGTGGTCCCAGCAGCACGGCAGAGGGCAGCATGACCCAGAGCAGCACGACAGAGAGCAGCAGCCCTTGGACGTTGACACCCGCGAGTGGTCCCAGCAGCGCGGCAGAGAGCAGCACCACCTGGGGCAGCACGACAGAGAGCAGCAGCCCTTGGACGTTGACATCCGCGAGTGGTCCCAGCAGCGCGGCAGAGAGCAGCGCGACCAGGAGCAGCACGACAGAGAGCAGCAGCAGCCCTTGGACGTTGGCATCCGCGAGCGTTCCCAGAAGCGCGGCAGAGAGCAGCACGACCCGGAGCAGCACGACAGAGAGCAGCAGCAGCCCGTGGACGTTGACACCCGCGAGCGGTTCCAGCAGCGCGGCAGCGAGCGACGCGACCCGGAGCAGCACGACAGAGAGCAGCAGCCTTTGGACGTTGACATTTGCAAGTGGTCCTAGCAGCACGGCAGAGAGCAGCGCGACCCGGAGCAGCACGACAGAGAGCAGCAGCCCTTGGACGCTGACATCCGCGAGCGGTCCCGGCAGCGCGGCAGAGAGCGGCGCGACCCGGAGCAGCGCGACAGAGTGCAGCAGCCCTTGGACGTCGACATCCGCGAGTGGCCCCAGCAGCATCGCAGAGAGCAGCGCGACCCGGAGCAGCACGACAGATAGCAGCAGCCCTTGGACGTTGACATCCGCGAGTGGTCCCAGCAGCACGGCAGAGAGCAGCGCGCCCCGGAGCAGCACGACAGATAGCAGCAGCAGCCCTTGGACGTTGACATCCGCAAGGGGTCCCAGCAGCACGGCAGAGAGCAGCGCGACCCGGGGCAGCACGACAGGGAGCAGCAGCCTTTGGACGTCGACATCCGCAAGTGGTCCCAGCAGCGCGGCAGAGAGCAGCGCGACCCGGGGCAGCACGACAGAGAGCAGCAGCCCTTGGACGTTGACATCCGCGAGTGGCCCCAGCAGCGCGGCAGAGAGCAGCGCGCCCCGGAGCAGCACGACAGAGAGCAGCAGCCCTTGGACGTTGACATCCGCGAGTGGTCCCAGCAGCGCGGCAGAGAGCAGCGCGACCCGGAGCAGCACGACAGAGAGCAGCAGCCTTTGGACGTTGACATCTGCAAGTGGTCCCAGCAGCGCGGCAGAGAACAGCGCGACCAGGAGCAGCACGACAGAGAGCAGCAGTCTTTGGACGTTGGCATCCGCGAGCGGTCCCAGCAGCGCGGCAGAGAGCAGCGCGACCCGGAGCAGGCCGACAGAGAGGAGCAGCCCTTGGACGCTGACACCCGCGAGTGCACCCAACAGCACGGCAGAGAGCAGCGCGACCCGGAGCAGCGCGACAGAGAGCAGCAGCCCTTGGACGTTGACATCCGAGAGTGGTCCCAGCAGCACGGCAGAGAGCAGCGCGACCCGGAGCAGCACGACAGAGAGCAGCAGCCCTTGGACGCTGACATCCGCAAGTGGCCCCAGCAACGCTGCAGAGAGCAGCGCGACCTGGAGCAGCACGACAGAGATCAGCAGCCCTTGGACTATGACATCCGCGAGTGGTCCTAGCAGCACGGCAGGGAGTGGCACGACCCGCAGCAGCACGACAGAGAGCAGCAGCCCTTGGACGTTGACATCCGCGAGTGGCCCCAGCAGCGCGGCAGAGAGCAGCCCGACCCGGGGCAGCGCGACAGAGAGCAGCAGCCCTTGGACGTTGACATCCGCGAGTGGTCCCAGCAGCACGGCAGAGAACAGAGCGACCCGGAGCAGCACGACAGATAGCAGCAGCAGCCCTTGGACGTTGACAGTCGCGAGTGGTCCCAGCAGCACGGCAGAGAGCAGCGCGACCCGGAGCAGCACGACAGATTGCTGCAGCCCTTGGACGTTGACATCCGCGAGTGGTCCCAGCGGCGCGGCAGAGAGCAGCGCGACCCGGAGCAGCGCGACAGAGAGCCGCAGCCCTTGGACGTGAACGCCCGCGAGTGGTCCCAGCAGCACGGCAGAGAGCAGCACGATCCGGAGCAGCACGACAGAGAGCAGCAGCCTTTGGACGTTGACATCCGCGAGTGGTCCCAGCAGCACGGCAGAGAGCAGCGCGACCCGGAGCGGCGCGACGGAGAGCAGCAGCCCTTGGACGTTGACACCCGCGAGTGGCCCCAGAACATCAGCAGAGAGCAGCGCGACCCAGAGCAGCGCGACAGAGAGCAGCAGCCCTGGGACGCTGACATCCGCAAGTGGTCCCAGCAGCGCGGCAGAGAGCAGCGCGACCTGGAGCAGCACGATGGAGAGTAGCAGCCCTTGGACGTGGACATCCGCGGGTGGTCCCAGCAACGCAGCCCGGGGCAGCGCGACAGAGAGCAGCCCTTGGACGTTGACATCCGCGAGTGGTCCAAGCAGCATGGCAGAGAGCAGCGCGACCCGGAGCAGCACGACAGAGAGCAGCAGCCCTTGGACGTTGACATCCGCGAGTGTTCCCGGCAGCATGGCAGAGAGCAGCGCGACCCGGATCAGCGCGACAGGGGGCAGCAGCCCTTGGACGTTGACATCCGCGAGTGGTCCTAGCAGCTCGGCAGAGAGCAGCGCGACCTGGAGCAGCAGCCCTTGGACGTTGGCATCCGCGAGTGGTCTCAGCAGCGCGACAGAGAGCGGCGCGACCCAAAGCAGCGCGACAGAAAGCAGCAGTTCTTGGACGTTGACACCCGCGAGTGGCCCCAACAGCGCGACAGAGAGCAGCACGACCCGGAGCAGCACGACAGAGAGCAGCAGCCCTTGGACGCCGACATCCGCGAGTGGTCCCAGCAGCACGGCAGAGAGCAGCGCGACCTGGGGCAGCACGACAGAGAGCAGCAGCCTTTGGACTTCGACATCCGCGAGTGGTTCCAGCAGCGCGGCAGCGAGCAGCCCGACCTAGAGCAGCACGACAGAGAGCAGCAGCCCGTGGACGTTCACATCCGCATGTGGGCTTTGCAGCACGACCCGGGCCAGCGCGACAGGGGGCAGCAGCCCCTGGATGTTGACATCCGCGAGTGGCCCCGGAACATCGGCAGAGAGCAGCGCGACCCGGAGCAGCACTACAGAGAGCAGCAGCCCTTGGACGTTGACATCCGCGAGTGGCCCCAGCAGCGTGGCAGGGAGTGGCGCGACCCGCAGCAGCGCGACAGAGAGCAGTAGCCCTTGGACGTTGACATCCGCGAGTGGTCCCAGCAGCACGGCAGCGAGCGACGCGATCCGGAGCAGCGCGACAGAGAGCAGCAGCCTTTGGACGTTGACATCCGCGAGTGGCCCCAGCAGCGCGGCAGAGAGCAGCGCGACCCGGAGCAGTGCGACAGAGAGCAGCAGCCCTTGGACATTGCAT